CTCTGGCTAATATTTTTACATTGTTGAAATCTATCTTATGGTCTAGATCGATAGTGTGTTCTGCCAAAGCACAAGTGGGTTTATTTAGTCTACAGTCACTCTTATGAGAAATGATACGACTAGACAGATTTCTTCCAGTTTCACCAATGTACGTGGATGGACATTCAGTACATTGAATGCAATAAACAACATCTCTTGACTCTAAAGTAGTTAGGGGTTGTTTTATTTTGCTATATAGCTGACGTATGGTTTAATGTTCTTGTTATGTGTTGTGTGTTCTTGTTGTTGTTAACAAGAACACACAACACAGTCTAGTTCACACTACACACACAATCACTAGAAGAAATCTGTCTAGTCGTATCATTTCTCATAAGAGTGACTGTAGACTAAATAAACCCACTTGTGCTTTGGCAGAACACACTATCGATCTAGACCATAAGATAGATTTCAACAATGTAAAAATATTAGCCAGAGAGAAAAATAAATTTAAGAGAACATTCTTAGAAATGGTACATATCAGCAGGAGTGATAACAACAATCTGAATAAAAGATCTGAGATCCAGAATCTTAGCAAAATTTACAATTTTATTTTAACTTTTGACTAGGGTTTTCTGCATCTCAGAGTGTTTCATGTCTTGTTTCTTAAATTCCATTATTAATTGCTATAATTATCATGATTAACTTCAGTTATTATTCAGATGTTCATTTTGTTTTGGTTTGTTTTTTCTTTTTATTGTTTGACATAATAAACTTTTTTTAAATTTCCCTCTCAATTCTAAGTTGGTAACATGGTTGGTAGTACTTAAAATCACAAACGGCATTTTGTTAGACATCAGTTTGAAAGTTTGTTTTTTGTAGTTACATCGAACTATTTAAACAACAATAGTTCCTCCTACTACCTCTTTCTGTTCGTGAGATGTGACTGAATTCAAACCTGCGAAGACGACTGTTTTTTGTCAAACATGTCTTATTTTTTTGACTTTTTAAACTTTGTAACATGTTCTTTAATTTTTAAGTTATTTTAAAGTTTTTAAGTTTTAATGCCTTCAGTAATTCAGATCACATTATGTTATTTAACGTTGTGTTTTATATGCTATGAATCTTACTTTCTGTTAAGTTTTTATAACTTTTATATTACATCAGCCTAATTTTATAACACAGTAATTTTCATTGTAGACCTTGATAAAGGTGGCAAATAACCACCGAAAGCTCGGATTTCAGAATAAATAGTACGCCTTAGCAAAGCTCTATTTTTTATTGACTACCACACCCAAAAAGAAAAAAGTATTTACATATTTTTTCCAAACTAGTCAAAAAAAAAAATTCTTGGACTACCTTGTATATATATATATATATATATATATATATATATATATATATATATATATATATATATATATACAAATGCTGTCCTCAAATTATTCAAACAGTCCTGTTAAAATTTGAAAACCGAACGGAGTCAAATTTTGTTTTTGGCGCGGAACATTTAGGTCGTGAAACGGAACGCAAACGGTGTGAAGTTTGTTCTATTGTGGAACTAAGCGGGCAACCGTTATTTTATTTAGTGCTACTACTGCGTCTGCTGGTTAGCCCCGCGTCTCAGCCGCGTTAGTGAAAACAGTCTCCTGGTAAGCTTAGCTTTACTATTTTAAGAGTTTTAATAACGACAATTTGTTTAAAATAATTGAATATCTAGTATGTAGCCACAGCTGTTTCTTTAATCTGATATGTTTAAATCATTTTGTTTTATTCATGTAAAAGTACCAGTCTCCTGCCTTTAGATAGCAAGGGGATTGGACCTATTTTTATATAAAATACTTAATAAAATAAAATTATTTAAAAATATCAGATTAAAGAAATTTAAGTCTAAAAGGAAGAAAATTATTTTATTATTTTCTAATATCTGTAGCAATTTTTAACAAATAAGTTAAGTAAGGTTTTTCCTGAAGTACAATGTTAACACTGACTTTTTTGTAAGGCATCGTATAATTAATATTAATGACTTAAGTTACTTCAGAAGTACCAATTTTTCAAAGTATGTCAACCTAAAATATCGGTTGTGATAATCAATTAGCAGAAGTAATGTTTTTTTGATTATTATATTTTATTATGACTGGCGTTATTGTCATAAAATTAAAGTCTTAAAACTATTGTCAAATTAAACTTAACAAAAATAATTTTTTTTGTCCACAAAAACATTTCAGAGTCACAGATTTGCATAAAATTGTCCAAAACTCAAAAACCAAGAGAAAAATGTGTGGGCTTTTTAAAGATATATATTTTATTTATTATTGCCCTTCATTTTATTATCAAATCTCAACATTTAATAAAATCTGTTGGGGACAGTTTTGTATAGAAAATTTCCAAATAGCAGAGAAACGCTCATATATAGTTATTGGTGTTTTCTTATGGTAGGGCCTATCTCTATTATGAACGTATATTTGTAATGTTTGTTTGATTAAAACTTCAGAAGAGTATCCAAATTCCACACGTATGTACACTTCCCGTCATATAAAACTGGTACACTTTTTCCCCAATGTAAACCTGTGTTCAAACTGAACACAATTGTTCGTGAATCAATTCGTTGCTGCCTAATAAATTTAATAACCAGAAAGAGGATTGAGTTAATGTCCAAAATATTGAACGATATTTAAACTTGGGGTATTGGCACAGGGAACATTGGAATGCATCTACTGTAATTTTATACTTCAATTACTTATAGAACACAAACTGTTAACTGTATTTTATGTCAATCAGTTAGTAACAGGCAAACTACCTAAATTTATTTATTATTTATTACATGAACGATAAATGTGAAAAACTTACATTATACTTTATCCTACGTAGACTATAAACTATAAAATATCCGGGCGAAAAACGTGACAGTATTACATTATCCTCTTATAACTATAAAAAATCCTCTTATAACTGAAAAATGCTGGTTTGGTATCTTCAGATGTTATCAGTGCGTGAAAACGTCCCGAATATATCCGAACAATTAAACATAAAAAATTTTGCTTGCCATCAGTCAGATTTGACAAGTTTTTCAAAGTGAATTTTTAAAGAGGCTACGTCAGTTAAGTCAGTTTGATAAAACGAGAATAATTTCAAAAATAGAAGATGGTAGGTCTATTCGACAACTGGCTCAAGAGTTAAATAGAAGCAAAATCACAATCCACATCAAAAAGATGGGAAAACGAGCAGACTTTGGATAGAAGGAGAGGGATTGGGAGACCAGTTATTACTACAGCCCAACAAGATGAAACATTAACTAATTATTTAAGAGCGTATCCCTTCCATACGGCAAGACAAGCAAAAGTTAAAACAAACTTTAATGCTTCTATAACTACAGCATTAAGGAGAATTAGAAGAACAGATTTTAAAAATTGTGCAGCCGCCCGAAAATATAAATTTAGCGAGGAACATACACCAAGTAGACTCCTATTTGCTTTAAATTACGTTTTAAATGATCCAGTCAATTTTTGGGGCCGTGTAATTTTTACTGATGAAAAAGTATTCCAGTCTCATTATGATGGCCATATTAGAGTTTATAGACCGCCTCGAAATAGCTTTAACGAAAACTATGGACCATTATTGAAGAAACCTGGGAAAGCTTGGCCGAAGATGAAAATTTGTCACTAAATTTAATTAACTCAGTTCCCAGAATATTACAAGAAGTGATTAATAATAATGAAGCTATGACATAATATTAACTTTTCGAATTGTAATACATATATTTAAATCCCACACTTGTTCACTGTAAAAATTATTCATTTTTTAATTATTTCAAATTAAATTTTAATTTTTTATAGTGGGTTTTATTTACTGTAGTATTCCACAACTCAATACAATTTTGTGCTACACTTTACGAGAAACCAATCACACCTCTCGATTTGAAATTAAACATAAATTTAAAGTCATGTCTAGATTTATTATCTATCATTATTTTTGAATTGAAATATTTTTATAAATTATAATAAAACACGAATCAATGTATGGTTACTAAGATAATGGAAAATTTCAAAATTGATAGAATTTTTTAAGATGTATGTTTAAATAAATGTATAAATATAAATGTGACTGACTGAACGAGAATGCTTGATATTGTTGTATATTCATGTTATATGATGTTGTATAGTTTTTAGTATACTAAAAACTTGCGACCCGTTGCACAGCTCTGCTTTTAGCTGGTTTGATATATTTTCGTTGAACTGGCAACGTTGCCTTCGAAAGTAGAATGACACATGTGACAAGCTCAACTTACACAACTTGAAAAACACGATTTTCGGTTATAAGAGTTATACATACCAGTTTTTTATGACGGGAACGGTACAGAACTATTTGTGAACAATTTGTTCCGGCTTCTACTAAACTGTTTCTCTAAAAATATATTTTTCTATTAAAAAATTATGGAAAATAAAATATCTGCTAAAAATCGCCAACTTAACAAGATAAAAATTAATGGTGGCTTGGCCACAATTTAAATAATAATCGCAGTACCATAAAAACAGAACGATTGTTTAAAAATGCAGAAATTAAAAATGATACAGAAGATAATAAAATAGAAAATGGAAGTTTGGTGATAGAAACTGGTATTTCTTGTCAAGCGTCTGTAAAAAAGAATTAAAAACAATTTGTTTTAAAATTTTCATTATACGGTATAATGTATAACTAAGTAGTAATGAATAATTATAAAAACTTGCATAACATCACTTAATGGGAATGGCATGAGTTAATCGATCTGATTAACACATTATGTAAGAACATCATTTTTCCTTCCACTTTATATTTTGATATCTCTTTTAAGATCAAAATATAAATCACAATTTTATAAAAAGCAAACTGAAACCTTTTTCATTTAAAATATCACAAATGTAACTGAAAAAATCATCTAATTGAAACTTATTAGTGTATATTCTATGTTGTAGTAAGCTTTGTAGCTCCTATCACCATGCTTCTCGATAAAAATACGCCGAAAACTAACAAACAACACACGAATCTCAGGGATTGTCAGGTATGTCAAGTATTTCAGAGACAAAAGGAGATATATCTGTTTTCATGTCTTTATGTTTCACTAAAAACTCGTGCTCCAGTAGTTGGCTATAGTTGGGCCTGTCCGTGTATTTTTTCTGGAGACATTTGCAGGTGAAATCTTCAAATTCCGGCGAAAATTGTCCGCTAGGTAACCTCGGAGGATCGTCAGCCACAACCTGTTTCAGTTGTTCAAAAGGTGTGCCCCATTTGGGGTATGGGAAGTCTCCTGTGGCTAGTTCAATTAATGATATGCCCAAACTCCAGACATCTGAACGTATATCATATTGTGAAGGGTTTCCAGTAGGATCTATTCTTTCGGGCTAAAAAAATATTATTACCATTTTATACAGGAAACCAAATATATTTTGTTTGTGAATGTAGAAGTTGTGATACTTACAGCCATGTATGGTTTACATCCCGCATCAATTGTCTTGGCTATAGAGTCTACCAAATATCCACTTATTCCAAAATCACACATCTTTACCTCTCCTTGTCTATTAATCAGTATATTTGAAGGTTTAACATCTCTATGGATAACTCTAAGCTGGGAATAAAGGTAATGTAAGGCACTAACAACGGCAAGAGCAATGTTTCCTACAATGAACATATATATTAAAATCAAATAACTTGACACATAAATCACTTTGACATACAACATATAAATATATATAATCCTTGAAAACTTCTGCATGATCAAGACCTAAAAACAATTTCTCTTTTCTCTCGTTGCAATGTCCTTCATGTTACATTTAATAAGTTTGAAGTAATAAATAGTTTTAAAAAGGGATAATGCACAGTTGCCTGGAATAACTGTTGGGTGGATCGAGTAGCTTAACAGTCATTCTTGCCGGTCCCAAGCCCGGATAAAGGAGGAGGGTTAAGCGGAAGGCCAACAACCTGCCCTTGTAAAAAACAGCCTGTTATGAAAACTGCAAATGTGCCTCGGAATCGAACAGATACATATGTAAAACGACAATCGCAATGGACAAGGACTTTGAATGTTGGAACGTGGAACGTTTTAAGCTGGTACCGGACAGGAGCAGCCATACACGCAGTAAAACAGTTAGAAAAAGTAGGAATGGACATTACGGCAATACAAGAAATAAGGTGGCCGGACAATGGAAACATAAGAATAGACAAGGCGGTCATTTTCTACAGTTGAAACCAGACAGGAAAACATGAATTCGGCACAGGTTTCGTGGTCCGAGAAGAATACTTAAACAGTGTTATAAGTTTTACGCCCATCAGTGAGAGACTGTGTTATATTAGACTGAAAGGAAAATTGTACAATATCTCAATTATATCCGCACAAGCTCCGACAGAAGATAAAGAAGAAACAATCAAAGATGACTTCTATGAGCAACTCGAAAGAACGCTGGAGAGAATTCCCAAACAAGACATGCAAATAATCTGCGGAGACTTCAACGCAAAAATTGGCAAAGAACTTAACCTAAGACCGACAATAGGACAACACAGTCTCCACGATATCTCAAACGATAATGGACAAAGGCTCGTAGAGCAAGCATCTGCTAACAATATGCTTGTAAAGTCTACTATGTTCCAACATAAAAACCTTCATAAACAGACTTGGGTCTCTAATGACAACTCCACCCGGAACCAAATTGACCAAATAATTGTTGATGCTAGACACGGAAGTAATGTCCTTGACGTAAGAAGCCTCAGGGGCGTAGATGGAGATACAGACCATTACCTAGTAAGAGCAAAAATCAGGTTGAGAATATCATCACAGAAACTTAAAACGAACGAAGTATTGGGACAGTGGAATATTGAGAAAACGCAAAATAAGGAAATCCGAGACAATTACGTACAGGAAATGGAACAACATCTAAATAGAATAGACCAGAGCAATGATGTCGAAATGCTGTGGCAACAAATGGAAAAATCAATTACAGAGTCAGCAGAACTAATAATAGGAAAAAGAAGGACGAAAACAAGGAAATGGTTTGATAAAGAATGCCAAGAAAAACTACAAGACAGACAGAAAAAGCGAAACATTATGCTTCAACAAGAAACAACAGAAAGTAAAGAAAACTATACAACATCACGACGAGAAACAAGAAAACTAATTAGAGAGAAAAAAAGAAAATACGAACAACAGCAGTATGAAGAAATGGAAAGAAATAGACAACAGTCAAATAGTCGTGCATTTTACAAATCTGTGTCAAACGAAAAGAGAGGATTCAGACCTAACTGCGTGTCTGTACTGAGGAAAAATAATGATGAATTAATAATCAACGAACAAGAATTACTCCAAACATGGCAAGAATATTTCAAAAATTTACTTAATATACACCAAGATGAAGAACATGGAGAGGATATATACCTTGGGGTGGACCTACCGGTAGAGTACCCAAAAATAGACGTAACATTGCAAGCAATTAACAAATTGAAGAACGCAAAAGCTCCAGGCTCTGACAATATACCAGCCGAATTTCTTAAGTACGGAGGAGAAACTTTACATAGACAATTACAAAAACTAATAACACTTATATGGAACGAAGAGAAAATACCAACAAAATGGCACGAAAGTGTAATAATTCCTATCCATAAAAAGGGAGACAAAACCAAGTGCTCTAACTATAGAGGCATCTCCCTACTTAATACGGCGTACAAAATCTTATCGAGCATCCTATTAAGTAGACTAACACCTTTTGTAGAAAATTTCATAGGGGAATACCAAGCCGGATTCAGAAAAAATAGATCAACCATAGATCAGATTTTTACTCTCAGGCAGCTGCTTGAAAAAGGATGGGAATCAATAGAACCATTCATAATCTCTTCATAGATTTCCGACAAGTATACGACAGCATTAAAAGGGATCAGATGTGGAATGCAATGGCAGAACTTTCAGTTCCAAAAAAACTTATCCAGCTCGTTAAAGTTTGTGTAAATGGCTGTAAATCTAGAGTGCGGATAGGTAACAAGCTCTCAAAGTCGTTTGAAATAAACAGTGGACTGAAACAAGGAGACGCGCTGTCACCTCTTCTTTTTAATATAATCCTGGAAAAAGTAGTAAGAACCGCACAAATTAGAACAGAACTATATATATATCCGGTTTTTTAGGCGTTACGCCCGTCCGGTAGGGATCTATGGAGGAGTATCACCGATCCGCAAGCCCTTATCTCTTGCCGTACTGCTCCACCATAGGCCGATCAGATCCCAGCATATTCTAGTCTAAGCCGCAGATTCATCTAGAATTTTAAACTGCTGCGTTAGACTTTTTGTTTTCTGTACACCGAGCTGGGGCTCGATCCCACATCGACTGAACCATTCGACAGTGAAGCGAATGAGAGGCAGCCGCACAGCCCGCTGAGCTATCTGACCGACAGAACTACTGACAGTAAATGGACCAAAATTACTACTAGCATACACGGATGACATTGACATTGTAGGAAATACCGTCACCAATGTAAAAGAAACCTTCAATAAATTAGAGAGAGAGGCAAAAAATACCGGTCTAAGGGCCAATGAAGAGAAAACCAAATATATGTGCATTAACAGACAAAAGAGACGAGATAAAATAGGACAAAATGTAATAATAGACCCCTATAACTTTGAAAGAGTGGAGAGTTTTAAATATCTCGGAGCGACTATCACCACAAATAACGATATCACGGAAGAGATAAAAGAGAGAATTCAGGCAGCAAACAGATGTATGTATAGCCTCCACAACACTATTAAATCCAAGAGCCTAACACGAACATCAAAAATCAGGATATATAAAACAGTAATTAGACCGGTGCTCATGTATGGGTGTGAGACGTGGACACTGACAAAAGCAATGGAAAGTAAACTCAGATGCTTTGAGAGAAAAATCCTCAGAAAGATCTTCGGTCCCTATCACGATCCGAATACTAACCAATACCGAATGAGAACAAATGCAGAGGTCAAACAAATGTATAATGCTAGCGACGTAGTCCAAGAGATTAAATCCCAACGTCTAAGATGGGCTGGCCATGTTCATAGGCTCCCTAATAACCGCCTTACCAAGTTAATCTGGGAAGAAGTCCCGACAGGGAGAAGGCCCTTAGGACGTCCACATACGCGATGGAGAGATAATATATGGTCAGATTTGAGAACAATGGGGCTACCCACTGACTTAAACATCATGGACGACCGTTCGAGATGGAAGCAGGTTGTGCAGTCAGCCAAGACCCACCCCGGGTTGTAGTGCTACCAGAAGAAGAAGAAGATAATGCACAGTAGTTGGCTGTATACCATATAATTTAAAAACTCGAACATCGAAGTAAAACTCTTCTATTGTAATTGGTATATTTAACAGAAAATTAAATTTAGAACACCAAAAGGATTAAGTTCAAAACGTTTTCGGATTAATCAGTCCATCTCAGTGTACAGTGTAGTACTTGCAAAATAATCCCAAAAACCAAACAGTGTTTAGGTTTATGTGGATTAAACCATACTTAAAATTGTTAAATTATCTGGCTATATTGCCTACAGAGAACATGTCACATGTCAGTACAAGTCCCTACTCGAAAGAGTCCAGTTCGGATGTAGAAAACTCTTTCGAGTAGGGACTTATGTTCCCTGTAGGCAATTGTAAGTCCATCGGCATATAGCCAGATAATTTAACAATTTTAAGTATAGTGTAATCCACATAAACCTAAACACTGTTTGGTTTTTGGGTTATTTTGCAAGTACTACAAAGTTCACTGAAGATTGACTGATTAGTCCGAAAACGTTCTGAACTTGATCCTTTCGGATTTTTAAATTTAATTTTTAATTAAATATACCAATTACAACAGAAGTGTTTTACTTCGATGTTCAAATAAAGAGTTTCTTTTAGTAATCCAGGAAAGATGCTGCACCTACATGAAAAAGTCTAGTACTGTGGCGAAAAATTTCTACAACAAACCGTCAAATCAAAAGAAAAGTGTAATTTATATCATTTATATCTACAGTATGTACCATACTATAGAAAAGTGAAGAGAAGCAAACATAATAAAAAAGAGACTAAAACTCTAGCTTACCTAGAACATCCTCAGGAATTTTTTTCCCATTCTTGTACACCTTTGCGTAAAACTTATCCAAACTAGTATCCATAACTTCCATGCAAATCCAAACATCTCCTTCTCTAAATAAAGCTCCATAGAATTGCACAGTATAAGGACAGTCACTGCTTCTCATAGAAATATCCAAATCCATGAGAAGTCTTTTTTGTTCTTGAGTATTGACAGTTGCCGTGATTCTTTTTACTGCCATAATAGTCTCGCTTGGAATGTGTTTCATTTTTTCTACTACCCCATAAGCTCCTCGTCCTAGATCACAGATTTTTTCTAGATCGTCTGCTTCTACATCGAATGTTTTATCTGCTATAGTGATGGTTGTTCTAGTGTTTAAGTTTGCTGGAGGACCTCTGAATAAAAAATTGTAAAATATAAATTATATATCATACAATAAAAACAGCTGAGTATATAAGAACATGCAAAACTTTAGGTAAAAAGTTTAGTAAAAACTTTTAAGTAAGGTTCACAAACTTTTCTTTTTTATGTTTATTAGTAAATCAAAATTTAGTGTTAAAATGACAAATTTACAGTTGTATTAATTTTATGGGCAGGAAAGAAAGGATATACAAGAGTTATCAGTATCAGTAGATAGGGTAATAGAGTGTGCTGTATGCGAAGCTAATATAGGTAATAACAAACTCATTATAGCATCAGTTTACAGACCATCAGGTAGCGATCTGGCAGTTTTTTTAAACAAATTTGATATTATACTGGGAAGAATTATGATAGAAAACACAATTATAATTATAGGGGGAGATTTCAATATCAATCTTAAGAATAACACATTAGATAAAGTAAAATTTTGTATGTTAATTAACTCATATAATATTTGTCATGTAATTGATGACTACTCTAGAGTAACTGCCACATCTAAAACTTGTATAGATAACATACTAACAAATATGCAATCATATGTGTCAGTAGAAGTCTTGCATGCTGGAATCTCTGATCATTCTGCCCAAAAATTAACTTTTCGGGTAGAGGAAGCAGAAACGAATACTCTTGAAATGAAAAGACATTTTAGTACAAATAATATTGAAACCTTTATAAGTAAATTACATAATCATGACTGGCTTAATTTAAGTTACAAATGTGTAAATGATCAATGGAATACTTTCTTAAATCAGTTTCTGTATATATTCAATCAGTGCTTTCCTTTTAAAAAGTTAGATTCTAGGCAACGTAAAAAAGGCCTTAATAAAAGAGATGATCCAGAGATAATAGAATGTAAGACTCGTTTAGACATCTTGTTTACAATGAGCAGAGTTAACCATAAATTCTATGATTCCTATAGACAGGTAAAAAAAGAATATAATAAGAAACTAATAACAAAACGATCAAAGCTATATGAAAACAGGATGTCTGAAGCTGCCAACAAAAATAAATGCATGTGGCAAATTGTTAGTGAAATTAATGGTCAATTAAAAAGTGTTAATTCAATGAAAGTAGAGGGTAGTCCTCAAGAGATTGCTGATAAATACATGATCCACTTAAATACTTCTTTAAATAACACTTTATCTCAATTACAATACACTGAATATAAAGACAACATTGCAAGTAACATAAATTCAGTGTTTGTCGCACCTGTGACAGAAACTGAAATTATGGATATACCTAACTAAAAATTTAAAAAACAAAATGAGTTGTGGAATTGATGAAATACCCACTAAAATCCTTAAACTTTGTATAAAGGAGATAGTGAATCCTCTCACTACAATCATAAATAATTCACTAAAATCTGGTGTATTTCCTGAATGCCTGAAAACTGCCATAGTAACACCTGTTTACAAAAAGGGTGATCCTAAATTAATTAATAACTATAGACCAATTAGCCTTCTATGTTCCTTTTCAAAAATCTTAGAAATGACTATGTATAGGCGGATAACAGAATTTTTAACAAAATGTCATATTATTAATGCAAATCAGCATGGTTATCAACAGGGAAAATCAACTCAGACTGTGATTTTTCAATTTGTCTGGGATATTTTGAAATGTACTGAGATTGGTCATATGGCTTTGGGTCTCTTTTTGGACCTATCAAAGGCATATGACTGTTTAGTGCATGACATATTATTTGATAAATTGGAGAAATATGGTATACGTGGACCAGCATTGAACTGGTTTAAGTCCTACTTGGCAAATAGGAGATATTTAGTAAAAATACATAAAAACACTGAAATAGGCATCTCATCTGAAAGCACTATTAATATTGGAGTACCACAAGGAAGTGTGATTGGTCCTTTACTGTTTGTGATCTATATCAATGATCTTCATGGTCTAGTGGCTAATACTACTTCCAGCATAACAAATTATGCAGATGATACAAACATTTTAGTCAGTGGTAAAGACATGTCTGTTCTAAGCGTTAATGCTAGTTTAGAGTTCCAGAAAGCTAAAGACTGGTTTTCTATGAATAGGTTGGTTTTAAATCAAAATAAAACAGATCTTCTTTTGTTTAAGACAAATTATGCACATTCAGATATGCCAAACAGTATTATTGTAAATAATGACACTTTAAATATTAGCAGCAGTACCAAATTTTTAGGATTATATATTGGCAGTTTTTTATGTTGGGATAAACATGTTGACCAGTTATGTATGTCTTTGAGTAAAGTGATTTACAGCTTTAGAGTTCTAAAAAAATACATGAATAGTAACTCATTAAAAACAGTGTATCATGCTAATTTTGAAGCAAAATTTAGATATGGTCTAATAAATTTTGGCCACAGTAGGGACATAAATAATGTATTTCTGGTTCAGAAAAAAATACAGGTTAAGTATAACAGAAAAAAACGCTCTTTATTGCTGCATTAAATTGTTTAATAAACTGCCTGAACCTATTAAAAGGGAGGAAAGATTAAGTTTGTATAAACATCAAATATTTAAATTACTGGTAGCTCTTGAGCCATATTCTGTGGAGGACTATTTGTATATGTAACGGTTAGGAATAAGTAAATAATATTTTCGTTTGTGACACTGTTTTTTTTTAAATAATTTTATGTTCACGGAATGTATATTATTTTCTAAAAATAAAGATATTGTTATGTTATGTTATGTAACTATTTACTAAAACTGACTACTAACTGACCTACCACCTAATAAAACTACAAATGACACAAAAGTTTTTATATAATAGGCGACTTCAATACAAAAATTACGGAAGGTCGACGAGGTTAAACTGTAGGTTCTTATGGTCTTGGACAACCTAACGGTCGAGGGCAGAGATCATATGAGTTCTGTAAACAAAACGACATGATCATTACAAATACCTGGTATAAACTACCCAAGCGAAGACTATATATTTGAAAAGCCCCATTCGATGACGGTGGTACCTTGGGTCTTTAAGAAATCAAATAGATCATATACTTGTAAGTGAGCGCTTCCAAAATGCCGTCAAAAAAATCACTAAATTTCTAGGAGCAGATATTTGATCTGGTCACCAACCCCTTGTGGCAGATATTAAACGAAGGTTAAAACGATTCCAGTGACAAAAACCAAAAAGGAATGTGCTTTGACGATATAAACATAAAAGATAACATTAAACTGTAGCGTTTTTTTTTATTTAAAGTGTATAGAAAAGATTTCTGTGGTACGTCCCTGTTGTTTCTACCAAGAACTCGATCAATAAAGTTAAATGAAGGTATGTTGTAAATATTTCAAGTTTTTTTTTTGACGAGATTTTTAAATGCGTATTAACGTTGGAAATATGTTTTTATCTCTGTGTTGCAATGTTAGGTGAAACAAACAAGTTTTTTGTCGCCAAAGAGGTATTATGTTAAAACGCAATAAACCATGAATTCCCCTAATATTAAATTTGTTTTTCGTATTTAGACGAGGGTCAAAAAATAGAATATTTGTTTGTTTAGGCAATAAAGGAACATTTAAAAGTTGTTTTTTTGTCGATACGAGCGAGGGGATATTGTTTTGGTTCTTGAGTTTGTGGGGACAGGTTAGCTGCAAGACGGAAGGGAAATTTTTGGCGAGTTTCTTGTAAAATGTAACGAAGCAAAGGAGTCGAGATTTGAGTTCCAAGCGGGGCAGACGTGACAATGGAAGTCGACATTTAAGTTCCAAGCGGGGCAGACATGTGAGAATGGAGTCAAAGATTTGAAACGAAGTCGAGATTTGAGTTCCAAGCGGGGCAGACATGTGACAATGGAAGTCGACATTTAAGTTCCAAGCGGGGCAGACATGTGAGAATGGAGTCAAAGATTTGAAACGGAGTCGAGATTTAAGTTTCAAACAGAGCAGACATGTGACAAGAGGTCGACGATTAGATTTGAAGCAGAGCAGACGTGCTACAATGTGAGTCCAAGAACCTATTTGAAATGGTGGTAGACGCTTTTTGCGGATGTGAAATGTTGGGCCATTTTTGAATCAAAGAGGATTCAATTTCTTCTGAAATGTCTTAGGACCGGTCAATGATAATACTATCAGATTTAAATAAATACCGGAAGCTTCTAAGAAGTATGATATAGGATGTCCCCGTAGTCGGCTTATTTTTTTCCACTAAGTTCCTGTTCCAATCGTTTTGTCCTGGAGTGTTGAACTAGTTCCTGATGGTTGCTGCCTTCCAGTTTTGAAAGTTTTGTCCGAGTAGCTTCCCCAGAGATGTAAAGTTTCAAAGTGTTTGTATAAAAAAAACATTAAGGTAACAATTCAATATATTAATTTTTCAAAGTAAAGACAGATATTTTTTGGCTAAAGTAATAATTGCTTTCATTCTTTGTCATCAAAATTAAATGTGATACCTGACAGCAAGTTTAATTTGTTTTTTTGTTATGACAATTTTAATTTGATTATTATGTAGAAACGATATTTCATATATAAGGTTAAATTTATATGTTTTCATTAAGAAGGATCCTTAATTTTTGATAATCTAATTGGCCATAATATAGTAAACAAAGAACATGTAAGTTTTTGTTATTTGTATTATGTTATACGATATGTTTCTTTTATAATATGTATTTTTGATCTGTTTAGTTTGAGACAAGAATAAACGTTCAATTTGTTTCTCTGATATATTTTGAGTTTTATTTGAAAAAGATATTTTTTTCTATATTTTTGATGTTATACAATTATTTCCCTAGTTACAACTAGTGGTTGTAATAGGTATAATTGGGCACCTCAAGTGGCGCCCTATATTAAATTTCTTGAGGTGTTTCTGTTTATTTTCATTCTGTTTGTCCCAAGAGATTTGTATAAGTACCCCTTTATTTTTTTTGAGTTGCCCCAATCTCACCCCCAATATCTCAACTTATCCACGACCCAGCTCTCCAACAACCAACTGAGTGTCCGTATGCACTTGTTTCGATTATTTTGTTTGCCCAATCTTGTCCCCCATATTCTTACCCTGTGGTAAGCAAAATAGTCGTTACAAAACAGGGATTTAACAATAGTATAAAGAACATCGGAGAACAACTATAGTAAAATTCATTAAGCGATGCAGGAAGATGTAAACATTAAATCGTGTCCGAACCGGTATGAGCTACCGAAAACGTCGGCAGACGAAATAAAGATGGACATTTCGGTTAGTTTTTAAATATTTTTGAAGAACTGTTACTTGCATTTATGCATAAAATATTCATTAATTTTATAAATCGGATTATTTTTTCACTTACTATGCATTCAGTGATAACATTAATTTATTTGCTATGCAATAAACACGAATATTTGAGAAAAGAAAAAAAATAATAAAGTGTCATTATTATACTGTTACTTATCGGAACGAGTAGACTCATTTGGAACATCTTTAACAATTATCTGTTAAATTTATCGTTGTTTATATGCCCTGCATCACTTAATGGAATAAAGTATAGAAGATCTAGCGGAACTATGGATTAAATTTAAGAACTAAACGAAATCTGCACAAACATTGATTGTAGACGCACAGATGATCATAACACAGATGCGAAAGACAAGCAACAACTCTTGTACAAAACGTTTTGATAATCTCCCAAATTGAGTTACCAAGAGGGTATTTGAGTTAGTCTGTAGGCCCAAGTTTATTTTCAGTTCGTAAATAATCGCGCTGCAATTCATACATTTTATGCGCTTATTGTAGTGGTAAATTGATGGGCGGATTATTGGGAATTGTTACTATTCATTCTTCATTTACTTCTTTACCTTCGATTATCATACGGCCTTGATTGTCTCCCAGTGTATGGATGGAATTGGTTATATGTCCTCTTTTCTCATAGGAAATTGCTTTATAGAATTCTCTGGAGCCTGGTTTGGGCCGATCTTTCTTCATAGCTTCATATTTTTGTTGTTCATAGTTTCTTTTTTTTGTGCGTATTATTTTTCTTGTTTCTTTTCGGCAGTCGTCATATTCCTTTTTACTTTGGTCTGTTTGCAGTTGTATTCAAGTCTTTCTTACTGTTTGTCTTTTTTCCAGCTGTTTCTGACATTCCTCGTCATGCCATGTTTTTGCCCTCTTCTGCCTACTCCTTCCAAAGATCTTGTCCGCTATCTTGGTTATTATTTTGGCAGTCGCTTCCCATAGCTGTTCTATATCATTGTATTCTCTTTCAGAGTTCAAGGTTTGTTCCAGTTGTTCTTTATAGTTTTGTTGTTTCTCTGCATTGTGTATTTCGTCCATGTTCCATTGTGGGTTAATTGTTGTTTTGTTGTATTTGTGGCTAGATATTCTGGATTTGACTTTTGCTCTGACTAAGTAATGATCTGTGTCTCCGTCTATTCCTCTCAGGCTTCTTATGTCTATAATATTGTTACCATGACGGGCATCTACAATGATATGGTCAATTTGGTTGTGCATAATATGGTCATTTGAGACCCAGGTTTCCCCATTGATTGACAAATATCCTGATTATTCAGATCTTTTGACAGGGATCTAAGGCCCGTATCTTTTGACAATAACTTAATCCCAAGTATTGTCTGCTTCTCATGTCCAATTGTTGGTACCAGTAACTCAAAACTTTCGGAATTGTTACTTCCTCAGAATTACCTACAACTGTCCGATGATTTTAAGTGGGGGATAAACCTTCTTCTTTTTTCTTGGATAGGTGGTGAAATTTTTAGTGGAACCAACTCACTTCTCGGTGGGCTCTCGTTGAGCACAGGTCGATTATCTCGTGAGACTTCTCGGTGGCCTCTCGTTGAGTGTGGTCGCTTGCCTGAAATTATCGTCTCTGTGAATTATTTTCTAAGTGTGTATACACTCTATATTTCAGTTTTCTTGTCTTAGACTATATTAAGTTATATATAGTTCTACACTACCTTTAATGGTACCTAATTAAATTCAGTGTTGAATACCAGTACAGTATATTAAATTCAGTGAATTAAGCTGCTGTCATCAGGAATTATGTAAGTTACCATAATCTTTACTAAATAAACCCAAATTATCTGGGCGAGTAACATTCATCCATATCTTCATCTGTAGATTGCCGATTTTTATATTTAATTTAAAGAACAATTCAAGAACTTTCCATAAATAAAAACTATGAACATCTCAGTTTAGCATTAATTAATAGTGCGAGATAGTAACCCACCTAGCCAAGTGCGGTTTGGCTAGTTAATGTTTTCAACTCTGTAACCTGTTTGTTTTTGTTTTTGTAAATTTAGAGTTAAGAAATTTTTGCTATCTTTTGTATTTGCTATAATTTTTGCTCATTATCTTTCCTAGAATATCTCGAGATACGCCAAACTATATTTGTATATGATTGCCTTATATATCTTGGTAAAGGTATTTTTTTATTACATTATTGCTTAATTTTATACATATATAACACCATTTCATAGTTGTGTATTTTTATTACTTGTGTTGCATTTAGCAGTATCATAATTTTGTGTTTAATATATTGTTAATGTCTTATGCATGTATTTTATTTGTCGGCTCCTAACAAGTTCCCTGATAAAATAGTAGCTCTAAATATTTGCTTAGTGTATTAATTTATTACTATACCTTTGACCAGTAGAAAGATCAGGCTGATTAAGTTTCGTAGGTAAGTAAGTGTAATACCTAATATATTTATTATTTGTTTATATATTGTCTTGACCAAATTTATTTGATAATTAACTGTTGGTATCTTTCCTTGGGTTTGATCTCTGAAGGATATCTTTCCTTATCTCTTTGCTTTTCTAAGGTTTCTTAATTTTCTCCTTAACCCCAAAAAATTGAGTGGCGCCCTGTTTCTATCTTCTCTTATCTTTGGTAATTTTACCCATCTATCTTTTTGTTTATTTCTATATCTTTTCTAATATCTCTTATCCTATCTTTACTTATTTCGTCCATTGGACCCAATCCCGGTTCCAAAAGCTAGTTTCGAACCCACGACTCGCTCTCCACCAACCATCAGGCTGCCGTCCGCAGTGTCTCCATTGGTTATCTTTCTAGCACCATCCAAAAAAGATTTCCTAGGTTACAACATGACTCATCCTCTATATTGACCCCACCATCGATCCAATATCACTACCACTACTACACACTTTGGTTGTTAAGTAAAACAACTTTAGCATTTGCAGGGAGTTGTCATCTATGTACTTGATTTATATCAAAATCACCTTCTGACTCTTTGTGAATATCTGATCCACATTTAAATAATTTTCAGATGCTATGTGGAGAGCTTTCTCTAAAGTCAAACCCCATATGAAAAAAATAAATATAGAAATAATTAATAGTGGCGTATTGACCTAACATTGCCATATAGCAACAAAGATCACTGTTACTATGAATGCACCTCAAATAATAATTTTATGTATTCTACATTATTACTGAAGTTTCATCTGGTTGTTTGATATTTATTACGAAATTATGTTAAAAAATTATAACTTACCAAATTATATTAATATTACTTACTCGAATTGAATGCTAATGAAATTTTGAATGCAACCACAGGAATTCACTACAAATATATCTTGCGAACAGGTAAATTCACAATACGATCAGAAAACACATATTCAGACAATCTTACCTAAGTGACCTGCAGCACCATCTGCATAACAAAAGACAAATTTTATAGAGACACCCGATTTGCGTTGCCATATGGCAACGCTAGGCTAAAATGGTTTAACCTGTAATCATGTAAATGTTTATTAATTAGTTCATTGTAATAGGTATTGTCTGTTTGTATTTATTAGCTAATTAAAGTACTAACAATTATTACTATATCATATTTAATATTGACTTGTTTGAAGCCAATCCCAGGTAATTATTTAGTTAATTATTATGTTTATGATATATCTTTATAAGATTTTATATAATTTTATGATTATACTGTAAATAGGACCCTGTTAGGCAATAGACGAGATGATTTGAAAGTTTTACAATAAAAATGTGTTTTTTAAGAAAGACTCACAAATATTTTGCCAAAGCAAAATAATTATTTTATTCCATTGTTGCTATTTTTGAATGCCTTTTGTGTGACCTTCAACACGAAATTAAAAAAAAGCTAATAGTTTACATTACCGTATGAATTTATTTATCAAATAATAATAACTTATAACTACCTCAAAGTTATATTAATCAATCTGCTATGATCTTAAATGTAAAAACGTTAATTAACGGAAAACTTACACTTTCGGAACCGTATCGTCTGAAACTTGAAGCTTTAGACCTGGTTTCTTCTTCCTCCCAGACATTTTACCAATTCTGGAAATGCAAAAATATTATCCCACGTGAGATACACAGTCTTAAATTTTAAAAGGAGGCTTTCCCTAATTACCAATTGTATAACATGGGCGAAAAGAAAAGTGTTTTCGACATTTATAAAATTATTTTAACCCACCTAATATTTACGCTTGAGAGCACAAAATGCGTTTTATCGGCACAATTTCAATAACAAACGTGACCATATATGAAAAGATGTTTAATAAAAAAAAGAAAAACTTTTTGACGCAAATAAACTTGACAACTGGTTTTTGACAGAAGTCAAAGTCAATCAAACACATCAAGACAGTGACGTGTTATGTGTTATTTTAGGGAGGATGGAGGACCATCAAAGACGTAATATTCGTTGCGTATATTTGCAACGCGTACACAATCAATTATTAACGAATTAAATTGAGTGAGAACTGAGAACACAGTTTATTTCTCAATACATAAGCTATTGATAGTCTGATTTAGAAATAAACACGATATTTTTTTCGTATTATTAAATAATGAAAATAGTTTATTGCTATAAAACATAACAGTTGACATAAAAATGCCACAAAAAAAAACAGTTTAAGAACTTATAATTCAAATCAATTATAGAATTGTTCCCATATTGTTTCATTGTACAATAAGCTGCAGCAGGACGGGTTAAAAAAATATTTAACTGAAGTGGAAATCGAAACGTCACAATAAACGTATTTTCAACTGAAATTGTGGTTCATTCCCATTCGAGATGGTAAATATTATTAAAATACCTCAATAAAATACCTTAAGGGCAGTATTACTTTTAAAAAATATATAAAATGTCTGCAAGGCCTTGTTTTAGTGTTAAATTTCTTTCTAATACGCGTATTAGATAGCGACAAAAACTTATATGGCCGTGATTGTTTCTTAAAGAAAACTAATCATTTTCCACATATTGGCTTTGAGAAAATGTTATTCCCAAACCAATCGATATCTTACGGGTTGGTTTGGGAATTTATTTTTATTGTACAGCCAGCAATTGACGGATTTGTAGTTTACTGTTTTTATTTGCGAAAAGTGAAAGGAAAAATCGAGGGAAAGAGAGGCCTAGGAAGGAAAAGACTATCGTGGCTCAGAAACATCCAACAATGGACAGGGCTAAATTTTGAACAGCTAATAAGAACAGCTGAAGATAGAGAAGAGTTTAAAATTGTAGTAGCCAACCTCCATTGAGGAGAGGGCACTTTAAGAAGAAGAAGAATTTGCGAAAAAACATACTAAAATTCCTACAATATATAAAATTAACAATATAAAAAACTAATTAATTCCAACTACGTACTGTTCTCTTGCTGTCTGCTAAATTATTTGTTTTTGTTTTTGTTTGTGTTTAAATGACTGCGGACACTAAATCCATTCGCCAATCTTACAATTTGAGGTGTAGTGTGTGTGTGTGTGTGTGTGTGTGTGTGTGTGTGTGTGTGTGTGTGTGTGTGTGTGTGTGTGTGTGTGTAGAGTAATTGTCTTGATACTTAACAAAGTCGACGTCATTGTCTTTGCTAAGAGACGCTAATTGTATCCGAACGTCTGCGGTCCCTCCGGTGTGTACCGATCACACAAGGATAGAAATGCTAAATTATTTAAATTATTCCCTAATCGGTGACAGCTTGGTTTCTGACGTTTTGATATTATATTTGACTATAAAATATTGTCTATTCGCTTAGCTAGGGCATATTTTGACAGACTCATTGTCGGAAACCTACAACACAAAATTCCTACTTCTCAGTATTAATAGCTCAAGTATATTACTATTGCAGACTTCTTTCTTTGAAAAAAAGAAGAATTATTCTAAATAGTGGAAGTGTATAATAAACCCATCAAATTTTCCCTGTATATTTAAAATATATTATTTGAATTGTTACAATTTAAAATATTGTAGTAAATATTTGTATTATTCGCGTTGTTTATTTAATTTAATATAGTTTTATTGTTTTATTATCTTTGTTTAATTCTTTTGTTAGTTCTATTCAGTTAATTAGTTAGTTATATTTTAAATTTTATTATTATGGATAGTCAAAGTTTTCCATTTGTTCCATCAGCTAATGCGTTGGTAAGTTTTTCTTAATAAATATGATAAAATGTTTTTTAAAAGTTAATATTTTTAGATTAGTTGTTTCTAATTTAATATAAACTTGTTTATACTTACATGGAGGTTTTTGTTGTTTGTTTGGGTTTATATGACTGCAGACTGCGGCCAGTACACTGAATTCATTCACCATATATGTGGAAGATTTTAACATCCTCAAATGCTAATGAGCAAAAATTACTATTGAACTACGAATTTGCCTATTCAAATTACTAATATTTGCTTTTAGCATATGGAAGTACACTTATTTTGTAAGATAATAAAACAACAGTTTATATTAATGCTATCCAATGAACTGTTAATCTTTAATAATTGATTCCATCCTAGTCACAACATAAGGAACTTGCTGTGTCTTATTTAACCTCACTTTGACTTTTTAATTTTGTAGAATTTATTCCCACTTTTTTATTTTGTACAATAAATAATTTTATTATTTGTTATCAATACATTATACGGTGTAAATAAATAAATATTGATTGTCGGCAAAGTTCTATTTTATTTACTTTTGTTTACATTAATATTGACTAAGAGCACGTATGCTTGGTTGTATAGTAATTTCCAGCCACTTCGAGTCTGTCAAAAAGTAACTAACTTCGCAAAAAAATAATTACTAAAATCACTAGACAGTTATCGGACTGGGAATAGCGAACCGGGTATATATATACTATAAAACAGTAACAACGGGAAATTTTGGGTAACATGATAGAACTTAAAATTAACTGAATACATTGTACCATTGGTCTCTTTACCATCTTTTTGGTCTCGATTTATTGGCATTTCTGCTAATTTTATAGCAGGACGTTCATAATATATTCCATTTTTTGTTTGAACTATTGCTCGTCGCAATTGCTCATCAGGTGATTTTTTAACTTCAATTATCTTACCCTTTGGCCAATTGCATCTTGGTAAATATTTATCACATATAATTACAATATTGCTCTCTTTAATTGGTACAATTTGTTTATGCAATTTTGCCCTAAGTAGTATCTTCCTTTAAAAGTCCAATTGGTTTATCTCCATTTAAAGATCCAATTAAAAAATGATTTGGGGTTAGAGATTCAGTTTCTTCAGATTCTATATGGAATATTCTATTGGTCTTGAGTTTACTATGTTTTCTGCAGCTATGAGACAACTATAAAGTAATTGGTCAGTAGGGTTCCTGGTTGGTAATGAATCATAACGAAATTTTAACCGCTTTCACTAGGCGCTCCCAGGCCCCACCCATATGTGGGGAAAGGGGTGCGTTGAAGTGAAATTTTAGCTCTGGGCTAATCAGAGAATTGGCTATTAATTTACTGTCAACTTTTTGCAGTTCTTCTCTCAATACTCGTTCAGCTGCAATGAAATTCGTACTTCGATCACAATAAATGTGCCTTGGTCGTCCTTTTCTGTTAATAAAATTTGTCAAGTAGAGTATAAAACTGTCCATCTAGTTTGCAAGCTACTTCGGGATGGACTGCTCTAGTCGTGAAACACGTAAATAAAGCTCTCCATCTTTTCTCCGTCCGTCTTCCGATAGTAATGTTTATTGGACCAAAATAATCCATACAGTGGTCCTAATCTTATTAACTAGTTGTCTAAGTTTTGGTATATAAAATTTTTTTCTTATCTCATTTATTACAATTTCATGATTTCTATGGTGATATCTTTTGTGATAGTCTTCAACAACTAGTAAAGTTAAACGACTTTCTTTCGCTAAAATTATTAGCCTTTTTGTTTCTCTGAAATAACATCTCTAGCTTCATCTAATCTTTCTCTTATACGACGTAAATCATCTTCATCCAGATATGACAATAATTTAAATAAACTACTTGATTTATTAACTGTTTTCTGTAAACTACCAGAATTATTAGTTTTTAATTGTTTTATTTCATTTTTGAAATATTCACATTGAGTTTGTTTTATTAAAATATTCCTAGCATCTAAAAGTTCTTCTTCCCAAATTAATATTCCTTTAGGCTATTCAGATTTCATCAATTTTGCATAAACAATTCTTAAAAATCAAAACATATATGCAGTTGCTCTTAAAATTCTATTAAATTGACTGAATCTTTCAAAATCTATTAAAGTGGACTATTAAATTTTAGTTCATAAGTGGTTAAGATTTCATCAGCCTTTTCCTTCTTACGGGTGGTGTCTGGAGGCCAACTGTTTTCTAATTGATACAGAAAATCAGGACCTTTAAACCAACACCTCGTGTTTTTCAAATTGGGACTTTTTATCCATTTGGTAGCTTCGTCAGTTATGTTATTCTTAGTATGTACATATCTCCAATGTGATACCATTGAGTTTTGCTGAATTTAGGCCACTGTAAGCTACATATTTTGGTAAATTTCTTGGGTCTTCATTTCTTAACCAGCTTAAAACTGTTGAAAAATCTGTCCAATAAACAATGGTGTGCACAGGTATTAAAATATGTTGACAAAGGTTTACAGCAAATCTTTTTTTGGCCATATTCTAAGCGTTGTTGGTTTCCGGTCCATTTTAAGCAAAATTGTTCTGGGTTTCCCATTATATTTAGCTTTTAGCAATACTTTCTTCTAAAAAGTAACGGAAGACCCTTCATCTAGAAAGGAAAATGTAGTGACCTGCCTACTTCCATTTTTTAAAACAACGGGAAGTATTCGAAAGCGTGTTCCTTGATATGCATTACTTTCTTCATCTGCAGATAAGAGGTGTGATTCTACTGTTTGCATACCGTTTTCCATTTTGATAAGATTTGTACTTTTATTAGATACTTGTTCTGAAAATTCATGAAAAAGAGGATGATGCTTTCTTTGGCATTCTTCTTTGTTGCATTTTACAGGATACTTACAGATACAGGAAAATCTGTGTTTCTTTAAGCAAAGCCTACATAAATTTAACACTTTAACAGCCTCC